AAAGAAAGAAAGAAAGAAAGAAAGAAAGAAAGAAAGAAAGAAAGAAAGAAAGAGAAAGAAAGAAAATGGAAGGCAATGGGGACTGCTATTTTAAGTGGTAGAGACAGCTAGTGGTCCACTAAAATTTGTACTCTCCCGCTGTTAGATAGATTTGCATTGGCAGGAAGATTTCCTGACTGAGACTACACTTCCCAGCCTCCCTTGCATTTAGATGTAATCATGCGACTAGTGTCATCAAACAAAATGCAAGCAGAAGAGATGTGTGTCCCTTCCAGACCCTACCTTTTCAGAAAGTTCTTCAGCCTTCTCTACATACTTTTTCCCTTCAGATATCTGGATCTCAGTGACTACAAAGCCTGGGAAAACAGGAGAATCATAAAATGGAGGAATCGTGCAACCCAGAATCACCACCTAGAGGAAAGCTATTCACTGACCACAAACTGGATACATAATACTGCTTCAGGAATGAAAAAGAAATATCTATTGTGTGAGCTATAATAAACTTTAGGGTTTGTTTACCACAAATGTTACCTAACATGCCATGTGTATGCCCTCTGCACTGCTTAGTAGCAGAATAAACCGCTAAGTGACTAGACTGAGAGCTGAATCATCACTCTCTCCCATCCTCAAACCCAGAGGAGGTTCTCTGATCTGGCCTCAGCAAGTGTGAGAATTGCATTCTCCATAGTAGATGAATGGCTTGGCATTCCAGTTGTAGCATCAGTTTCTATGAGCTTGCTCAACATAGGTCTGTCTTAAGAGAGGGACCCACTCCTGGAGGGCTGACACATTCAGAATCTCAAGGCTGGAAGTCTCCAGGACTCAGCCCTCAGCTGTGAGAAATGCTCCAATTAAAATGCCTCCACACAAGGCCTCTTGGGAGTGCTATTTCGCTCCTACACATGCCTGGGGGCACATATATTTTCTTGGTACCTCCTTCATATTTTCAAGACTCTGAGGGCAAGGAGAGGATGGCCCAGCAATTGAAAATCACAAATTATAACGGCCAACAACAGATGGACAAATAGTGAAACAAAAGCACTGGAAATATACAAGCTGGTATCTCTATCCCTTGCTGCTTGAAGTGTTATCTGAAGACCAGAGGCATCAACATCACAGGGAAGCTTGTTAGAAAGGCTGAAGTTCAAACCCCACTCCAGCCTTCTGAATCAGAATTAGCATTTCAACAAGTTCTTCCAGTGATTTGGGGGCTCATTAAAGTGTGAAAAGCCCAGGCTTTTCTCTACCACCTCATTTCTCCAAGATGAAGGTCTGTGGTTATATGTGTGGTCAACTTCCAGCCATTTTTGTTTCCTGAGAAGCAAATATTAGAGGAAGACAAATGGGTCAGGAAACCTTGCATCATCTGCCTTATGGAGGAGCCTAAAAGTGGGTTCCAAAGATGAATTCCCAAAACAGTTTGAAAGTCTTCCTCACTGGTGTACCCTAAAGTTCCAGAAAGCCTCCAAGTCTTTTTTTTCCTGATAGGTTGACCCAGGACGTGATCCCACAAAATCCTAGCCTTCTACCAAGAGGGCCAACTGAGCTCACCTTTCTTTTGTCACCAGAATCACTTGTGACCCCTGTTCATGCATGTGTGGGCATTTGTTGACTTTAAATCCCTGGCCTAAAATATGAAGATAGAAAAAAAAAAAAAGACCATTAAATTTCAGAATAAAATAAATTTTATTTGTATTCACCAAGAGATACATTAAAATAAGTAAGCTCAGGAAATTTTACAAAGTCAGATGTTCTTCCAATCTTTTTATCATCACCCACTGCTAAAGACTGGAAAGAGAGGGAACAAGTAGAGATTTGGGGAAACATCTACATTTACCCCTGTAAGAGGAACAACTATAACAAGAGGTACATTATTTCACCGAAGAACCACTTGCCAGTCTCACTTCATGGCTTGCTTGCTTGCTTCCTTCCTTCCTTCTGTTCTTCCTTTCTTTCTGATTTAAAAATATATCCTCAGGCATTTAAGCAATGCATATGTTCCAGGCCATTAAGTAAGATGACTGAAGATCTATTGCTTTTAAAAATCCTAGATCTTTCAGAAACTAGTTTACACCTTATCAAGAATCTATAGCATTGGACTTCTTTCAAAGTCATTCCACTCTCTGAGAGTCCCCGATTTCCAAAAGAATTAACAGACAGAAAGTCATAATCTCCAGGATTTTGTCATCATTAAAACGAAATAGGCATCAGTGTCAATAGAAGCACTGACACCAGCGTAATAGTTCAAAAACTCTTCTTTCGAAACCTGAGAGGGGTAAAAGGCAGGGGGAAAAGAAGGAAATGGTGTCAAAATATGTGAGACATGGTAAGGCATTTTACATTCTCCCCGAAATGTTTTCAATGGAGTCTGATCTGCCACTGACAATCAAGCAGAGTCAGGTAACTGGGGATCAGGGAACCTGGCTTGCCCCTCCCCTCTGAGGTGGGGCCCTTGCACGGTAGGCTAAAGACCCACCTGCCCACTGACCATCACTTCTTGCATTAAGATAAAAATGTTTAGAGCTGTGCTATCCAATACTGTAGCCTCTAATCACACGTGGCTTTTTAAGTTTAAATTTGTTAAAATTAAACATAATGAAAAACTGAATTCCTCTGTTGCACTAGCCACATTTCCATTGCTCAATCGCCGTATGTGGCTAGAGGCTGACATCTTGGAGAGCACAGATGGAGAACATTTCCATCATCACATAAGGTCCAATGGGACCATTCTACTCCAGAGCATACTTGGCATGATTATACTTGTGATTATTATTAATACTTTAGAATAGAGAAATTTATAGCATAAATGTACAGGTAAAAAAGCTCTTTAAGGAAAGGAAGTTTAAGTAAGATGACTGAAATAAAGGATAGAACTAGAGAATGGGGTGCTTCTCAGGATCCTTGGACACCCAGGAATCCACGATGGCTGGGATTCAATAGCAGGATGTAAGGCACTAGCCACATGGGAGGTGCTAAAAGGCAAACTTCTCATTTTGGTCAGGATGTGTATTAGTGTTTCGTCGTTGGCCCTGTGAAGCCTATAATGGGCAATGAAATTAAAAGAGCAGAAATCTGCCTGTGGGTTCCATTTCTTTCTCCTCCCTCTTAACTCTCCCTGTTTCTTAATACAAACACACAGAGTATTCTATTCCCCACAGTCTTAGGGGTACCACTCAGAGGCTGGGCATTGCTGGAACTTGCTTGGCCTGCCAAATGGGAGTAGTCCAACCCTGCAGGAAAAGGAATATAGACATCAAATTTTCAAACTCTCATTCTTGGCTGTCAAAATAATTGGGGGTGGGGGGTAAAGTTACATTTTGTCCTTTTAAAAACATGAGCAAGTACAATTTGAAAAGGGCCTTATCATTTTCAAAGAAGAAATTTCATCACCTTCAACTGAATTATCACACAAGCAACATTTTAAATGATCCAAAAGCACCATCTGGGAAGTAAACTTTTTTTTTTTTAAAGATTTTATTTATTTGTCAGAGAGAGAGAGTACACACAAGCAGGCAGAGAGGCAGGCAGAGAGAGAGAGGAGGAAGCAGGCTCCCTGCCAAGCAAGGAGCCCGATGCGGGACTCGATCCCAGGACCCCAGGCCCCCTGACCATGACCTGAGCTGAAGGCAGCGGCCCAACCCACTGAGCCACCCAGGCATCCCTGGGAAGTAAACTTTTAAAGAAGCATGATATGTAACATGTTAGCTATTAAAGAGAAAAATATTTTGGAAAGACTTTAAAACAGAAACAAAAGCTAGATGACCTCTTTTAGTACAGAGTTGTTAATGTTTCAAGCCTTCAATTGAGGGAATTCTGTTAAATTAGAAAATCACGTGAATGGCAAGACACAATATGATAATGTGATAAATTGACAAAGTTGGTATTAGATATTAAATCAGATCTAACTTTGTAGCTCAAAATCTTCTCAATTTCTGGTTCCTCAAAGCAATATCTTAACTGTTTCCATTATGACAAATTCTTGCTTTCAATGCATACATAGCTTACCCACTACAAGCATGTATAGATTTTTTAAACAAAATATTTGAAAATTTATATCATAAATGTCACTGAAATTCTGTTTTATAAAACACTTTTTCAGCTTCAATTTCAATTAAAGATATTATCAGGATAAGATTTACATATAGGAACTCCTCACTATCTAGAAATTGTTTGAGTCACAGTTAGATAAATAAAGTATTGCCAATGAACAATTGGCCTAGGGCCGTTTTCAGATATGTGGGAACTTTTTATGACTAGCATTTTAATTACATTTATGTGCAAACAGATATCTCCAAGTACCTGTAAAACATACATGCACATAAGCCAGCACAGAGCTCTTATAAACTTTATATACTGACTTGCTTAAGAACCCATTTTTTTTAGTGTTGGTGAGACGGAAGTAAATTTTCACTCAAACCCTACCTAAGCGAGCTCAATTAGAGGAGCTTAAATTAATGGTGATTTACTCTATTTACTGTGCAGCTTCAAAGATAATCTTAAATAAATGGTTGTGGAATGATGTTGCTAAATGAAATTTTAGGCATGACTCAGGATGAAATCTGTGGAACAGAGTTTATTCTGTAGTCCCCTTGGAAACTAAAAGAATGATCTGGATTTCAGAAGGTAATGCCTGACATTTGGTAATGATCTGCGTTTGTGCTGCACTTTATCCCATCAAGGTGGAAGCAATTGCAGGCTCACTATAACCCCAGCAAGAGAAGCTACTCTGTCATCTGTCATTTTCTCTCAATTACAGGTTCCTTTTCTGTTCCAAGGCTCTCTCAGAGCATGGGCCATCATCAGTTCCGCATGTGGTCTGAGTGTTTCTAGGAGACCAGCAACTCAAACCTTTCAAGTATAAGATCAAGATGTTCCCAGAATCAATACCCGTGTCTGAGTGCCAAGTGCAAAGGTTTGTAAAGAAAAAGTTATTCAAGTCTTTCATGACAGGATTACAAACTACATACTCAGATCTTGCTTCAAAATTTCAGGTGCTTGAGCTCTGAGTCACAGGGTCCCTCTTAAATTTATTATGGGGTCTCGTGCAGAATGACACATCTGAGCCGCGCGGCACTTGTCCCCACGTTGGGAACGAGAGTGGGAACAGGAAACTCATGGTGCTTACAAGAACTTTGGTGAAACAGAAATGGCATCAACCATGTTCAGTGGCTGTTAGAATTTGTATCATACTCCAGAGAAATCATAAACAAATAAATTCCATTTATGAAGAGTAAGAAGACTCTAGAACAGGCCAGTTCATTTTGAGATTTTTCTTTCCCTGATATGATATACCTTTTTGGTTGTTGCAAGTTCCATTATCAAAACCTCAGCTACTGGTCGGTGGCTCACATTTTCAGTGGGTTCACTCCTAAAGAGCACCTTTCACTCTATTCTGCTGAGGGAAGATACTGGTTTTGGCGAAGCAGGTGTGAAAATAAAACAAGAAGGTCATGCTATTCTCAGAGAGGAAGAGCTGCTTCACCACAAGCTTCTCACCACACCAACTGAGGTGGCAAAAGAACTCTTCTCACACAGCAGCTTCTCAGAACCCCCATCAATCATTTGTTTATGTTTCTTTCAACAGATTTCACTCGTCATCTGTCTTATAAGACATAATTTTAAGGGATTCATTTAGTAAGTTGTTTTTTTTTTTTTTAAGACAAGGGAAAAACTAGTTATCTCATCGAAGTTATGTAGTTTCCACATCAGCATCTTGGAGGAGTAGAAGCACACTTAGAAACTGGCTTTCCAAAGGATCAGTTACATGAAGATGACATTATATGACAACCTATCAGATCCTTTGGCAGCTTTATTTTTCCTTGAATCATAAGCATTTCTAAAATTGAAAACCTTGCTGCTTCTTTCAACAAGCTCTTAATTTACAACAGCAGCTTATAATTTCCAGGAAAGCAAGTTTGTTGACCGATCTGAGAAACTGGAATTTGGAGGGGGTGTTCATTTTATGCTCCAGAGGGTTGTGCATAAATCCAAAAAGGTATACCACTCAGAGGGTGTTAGTAGAATTTCATGAAGGAGGAGCAGAAGGGCCCCCACACACCAGCCAAGAATACATATTTGGTTAATTTCATCTCTCCACTTGATTAAACATCAGCAGAATAAATTGCCTCTGTAGGTTGCCTAAAGAGGGTTGGATCATTACCTACTTGTACTCTTGTGACTCAGTGAGGCAATTCACAGTGGCCAAGGGAAGTGAAACACTGACAGTGACCTGCCTCCAAGAATAAAGGCGTCTTTTCCTGGCAGTGTCATGATAGACTGCCTACATTCAATAAATTTACTGCCTGGTCCTACAGCACACTGCCATCGGAAGGGCCCCGACTATCCTGCCTTCAGTGCTGATGCTTCACCTCCTCTCTTATCTCTGAATTCTGGGCTCTTGGTTTGGGTTCAAAGCCAGTGGTTTTGTTTGCATTTATCCTATAGCTTCTTCCTCTACCCCCAAAGTCTACAGTAGAACAGGGCACATAGTAGTGACTCAATAAATATTTACTGATGGGATGTATTCAACCTTGAACTGTGACAAAGGCAATCTGCAGCCTACTAAGCGGGGACCCAGCTCTGCCTTAAAAAGCTGCTCTTAGGGTATGAAGTGTTGTTCCGTGTTGCCACCAAACTACAAAGAGCCATGCATCACCCTCCAGCGTGTCATTTGGGTCTGGGACAAAATCCTATCAAGATTCGAATGTCTAGGAAAATTAGCCATGCAAATGGGCTGGAAGAATTCTGCCTCAGGCTACAATACCAAGACTTCTTCAGGCAGGATGGGAACCAGCCCTTGAAGAAGCTGGTTAGGGTCAGACCACCATTCTTGCCTAGTTTTGCCTTTGCGGGGTAGGGCGGGGGAAAGGGTTAGAACCCAGATTCAGTATTGATACTGGTGGCTTCTTGTGGCCAATCCTGATTCTCAGAATTTTTACATACTGTTTCTGTTTCATGAAAAGCTGCTAAGCTCATCTTCTTCTCTTTGGCTTGTTTCCTTCCTTCCTGTCTGGGGTCCTGGCCCCAAAGGTAAGGTGCTCCTAATGGTTGGAGATATTTCATTGTGTTTAGCTTCTGACCTCGGTATTTACTTTTTAAATTGGAAATGGAGTAATATTTAAATTGTGTAAGTCAAATAAATAGAAAATACATCCAGAAAAGTGTTGTTAGCAAATGATTTTTCTTAAATGACTGTTTGTTCCTCCCCTGCTACCAGAAGGAGTAAGAGTTAAATTATGAGTGAGCCCTGACGAGGCCAGAAATCACAGTTAAGACTCAGAATAGGAATGTAATGATTCTTGACCTTCAGGTTGTTAGATCTTTTTTACTGGGCGCAGGGGTCCTTGGTGGAATCCTCACTTGTGGGCCCAGAATCTGACCTGCTGGAAGGGAGACATCTGAATGTGGCCAGATACACGCTGAGGTACAGGTTATCTGAAATCTGATAGCCGTGCCCCAATTAGACAGGAAACAAGAGTACGACTAGGGAAGACAAAGCTGATAGTTACAACCTAGTCCTTATTCAGAATCACATGCTAACTCTCCAATTAAGCAGAGGTATGAGTCATTCCCAAAATCAAAGGCACAGTCTATCTAGAACAATACACTTGAAATCATGGCCAGGAAACCTGGGACCTCTCCTTCACCATCATCTGCAAGGTGCAGGTTACAGAAAACATGGATTTTTTTCCCCTATGCTTTCCATCATAATCTCTTCTGGATTTCTACCTCATTTCTACATATTTCTTCATAATACCTGGCATCTTTTGGCCTGCCAATCTCTACATAAGCCTAGAGAATAAAGTCAGTGGAAAGCCAGACCTGTGCAATCAATTTCTGAAAAACTAACTTCCCATAATTTGGGGATGCTACTATCCTCAAGAAAAAGGTCACTTGTCCAGCCTGTCATAGAGAAGTGGGAAATTGGCTTCTTGACAAGAAACAAACTTCTATGATTCTTATCTGGAAACACCTGCTTTCACAAATTTTAAATCAATGTGTATCTTGATCTCCACTTCCAACTCTCTGAGATAAAAAGTAAACAAGTGAATTAGTACAAAATACAGCAAGTGTGTTTGATTGACCCTAAACCCAGAGCCACTTAAATACATGGGATCATAAAGGGGACTATTATCTCAATCCACATCCCCAAAGCAGGGGATGAATGCAGCCAGGAACAGAGGTGACAAAAAGGACTGTCCTCGAGTAACAAGGCAGGTAGTCATAGTCAAAGGGCTGTCACTGTGCTTCTACATCTGGGCCCAGACACAGAACACACAGAGCAACAGTGGTGGTTTCAATATCTATTTGCTAGTAGCTGGGACTGCCTTTGCTTAGAAGCCTTTCATGGAGAGATTCTCACACACTGACAATATGAAGCCAAAGCTTAGATGTGGGAGGAGAACACTTTGTGCCATGAAGTGTCAAGATGGAAAATTTTGGAGTAGCAGACCTACTCAAGTACCCCACCCCCTTGTACTGGTAGGAATGTCAATATTATTGGCCCATGGCAGGGACGGGGGAGATGAACATTCCACCAGACCAAGGTTTGCTGATATGGTCTGCTCACTCACAGGGCAAGAGGTCCCACATAATATCTGAGAGCACAGCCCAGCCTGAGACTTTAACCACACAGATGGTCCTAGCTCACCTGCTCAAGGAAATGGCCTCCCCTCTCACAGACACTTTAGATGACCCAAAAATGTCATTCTAAACCTACTCACCAAACTGAGGCTTCCCTAAACCACTGGCAGAGAAACTTAAGATTCAGATATAAAAATTGAGGCCGATGTGTGGTTCTTCTGGTCCCAATTTGGAACTGAAGCACTTAAATATTTACAGTCAGATATAAAAACAGGTGAATTCTCCCACCTAGAAACCGACCATCTAAAATGAAGTGGTGAAAGACCATGGGTGCGTGGGTAGGGATTGTAATTAAAATAGTCAAACTTTTATTTATGGCCAAGGAAGACACCTATGTTTATTAGACAGTTGTATGTATCCTAGAGCCCGGCTCTAGTAGCTTTTTGAATCTTATTTTAATTAATCCCTCTAGTAGAGCTAAGGAAACAGCTTTAGCGAAGTGAGGCCACAATGAACTACATCCTGTCTTTTCTGCCCCCGAAGATGCAGTGTGCATTGACACGAAAGAAACTGGGATGAACATGAAATCAAATGTGATCCCGGCTTGGAGCTGATGTTTAACCATTTGGAGCCACGTGGCCATACCCAAGACCCTGGTCCCCAGGTCCTACATTTAGAGCTTCCAAGCAGTTCTCATCATGACAATGAAATACACATCCGTGTCAATGGACGCGCTCACCCCTGCGTAGTAGTTCATAAACTCCTCAGGGGTCACCTGCAGTGGAAAAGTCAGACACAAAAACAAAACTTTGCTTCCCACCGCTTCAGTAGAGGCCCATCATCAGTACCTGGAAATGAGAGGGAAACTTTGGGCAAGGCTCTTTAGTGACACAGATCAAGAGTAGATCTCAAACAGTCAAGTGGAGGATGGCCATGAGGGGTAGCAGAGGGGAAAGAGGAGTAGAAAGTCTTGAAAATTTCCAGACCAACCTAAATGAAAAGTGAGACACAGGCTCTCGCCTTTCTTTAAGTGCAGGAGTCCATCTGTTTGGATAAGTGTGACTGAAACGCAGAATGAGAAAGAAGTTTCATTAGTGGTAGTTAGTATGGACTTTCTACAACATGTCAGAAATAGTGCCTCAGGTTCTGGGTCAGGGCAAGTAATGGTTCACCTTTCAGAAAGTGGGATTCTGCCCTGTGGCTAAAGAAATAGATTTCTACTTAAATACTCCTTGGCCTCATGTTTTTTTTTAAGATAGAATGTACTCGTTTCAAGGCACAAAGTGAGTGGGAAAAAAAAAGGCAACCTCTACTCCATGCCTTCCCACACCCCCTAGGATGGGGCCTTTCTCCATTCTGTGTCTATAACTGTCTCTTTGGAATATCAATTAATCTGTTTACCTAGGCTAGAATTTTATTTTACTTTCCTTCTAGAAAGAAGAAACAATAGTTATCAATCTTTTTTTTAATAGGTATAGACGATATGTACGCTACAGTTCAACTATACGGGCTGACGTAATTAGGTGACTCAGGGAAAGAACTGTTTTCCTGTTTGACTGAGCTCTCTAACCAATCAATTTAGCCCAAGTATAGCCCCGCGTACATGGGAGGACACAGAAACAATTATGATAGCTGTTAGCCCTCAATGTTAAGTGTCAGAAAGGATTAACAGCATCACAAAAAGTGAAACCCATAAATAAATAATAAATAAATCCATATAAATACACCCATAAAAAATAAACCCCTCTTCCACAGAATGCCCACTATATCTTCTAAGAATCATGGAGCTGACTCACCCACTTACCTTTTTTTGCTGCAATTATAAGTGAACAGAGAAGAAAAGCCACAGGATCCATATTTCACTACCTATACCTAGCTCCCACGTGAGCCCAAGATAGTAAGATCCAGAAGGAAGATAGTCATTGGACTGAGCTAATAGTTAAGCTGGGCTTTTCAGTGGCCTAGAAGTAGAAGTCAATGTACATAGCTTTTACTAAAATCAGAATACTCTTAATGTTCTCCTTTCTTCAATTTCTTTACCTATGTCTTCCTTTGCATTCGTCCATTATCTAGCATGAAACCCCACCTGAGAGTCAGGTTACATAAAACTGGGCATCAGAGCTAAGATATTTGATCATGTCAGAAAAGGCCATCAGTTATTCTTAGTGAGGTGTCTGCTTGTTTCCTGAGACTCGCCTTATGCAGAGAATAGCCTGAATCGCAAATCTTATGATTTCCCCAAGTTTGCCCTCATCGTAGTAAAGCACCTTTCACTAATAATACCTGACTACTGAATTATCTTGTTGGACATTAGTAAAAAGTGAGGAAGCGGACATGCCTGCTCTTGGTCAGCCTCTTGATGATGCTATCTTAGCTGATGGGCTATTTATTATATGATGGAGAGTGTCCCAGATGAAAATGAGGGGAATATTTGAGTCATGATACAGAGTACAGTACCCTTTTCTCTGCTTAAGACTGATATTAAAAAATTGTAAGGTAAGTGTAGGTAATTTGTATATACTCAGTAATATATTTAAAATAATTTTAATTATTAAAAAAAACTCTATGAGATAGATGAGACAACAAGACCCATATTCTCTCAAAGGCTAATCTACTTCTGAGAGATTTTTAAAAAATATTTGTAATTGTAAAATGAAATATATAAATGAAAACTTTCAAACATAGATATTAAAAACAAGAAGTAAAAATCTCAACCAACTAGGGTGGGGTTTAGAGATGGAATAGGAGAGAGGGTAGTGGCTGGGTGGCTTAGTTGGTTAAGCATCTGACTTGATTTTGGCTCACGTCGTGATCTCAGGGTCATGAAATCAAGACCGACCTCAGGCTCCATGCTTAGCGGGGAGTCTGCTTGAGATTCTCTCTCTCTCCCCCTGCTTCTGTCCCTCCCCCTGCTCAGTCTCTCTCTCTTTCAATTATATAGATACATCTTAAAAAAAAAAAGAATCAGAGTGAATATAAGGTTCACTTCATACTTTATACAGTTGCTTTCATCCACATGACTTCTGGTGTACCCATTGCTTGGAGGGCGGGGTATGGGAATTATTAGTACAGGACCATTACACTAAAATCCATGACTACTATAAACCCCAGGAGACTTTATGACTACTTGAGAGCTTAGCCACAAATTTGAGCATCATCCTTAGCTGAGAAGTGTACTAAATTTCTTGCCTTAGTCTAAATTCTGTCTTATTTGGATAGGAGCTATATATTTTAACCATAAATGAGTGCACTGGCTTCAAACATAGCTATGCTTCATCATAAGAAATCTTGATGTATAAAACAACTCAATTTGGAAAGATAAGTTAAGAACTAATTATCCTCTTTATGAAAGAATTTACCATGAAGTTTCTTTACATGAACAGTTCTTTGTGCATTTAAAATATGATTCAGTGTACAAAAGTCTGAATCACATTCCAGAAGCATTTTCATTATGTCTTTTAGGTGAGACCTCTCTGTAAAACCCTTAGCACAATACCCAGTAGGTAAGTACTCAATAAATGATCTAGATCTGTAATTACGCCGCATAAGTTTCATGTACGTATTATATGTAGTCATTAAAAAGGGGCACTTCTGAATCTTTTAGAGACAAGGATCTCAGATGCGAACATGATTAAGAGTCATCGGGGGCCCTTACTAAAATTGCAAATCCTTGATCTCCACCCAAAAATCATCAGGTTCTGTAGTTCTGCCCGGCAGCCAGCAATGTACATTATTAATCCATCCCCCCAGATGACGATCAGGCACAGTCAGCTGGGCATTTATACAGGGTCTGTGATATTCAGGTAATATCAAACGCTATAACTGCTAAAAACCCCCAGTGACCTTTACGAGTATTTGAGAACTTGAGATTGCTTGTTAGAATAAATGTCAGAAAGCACAGGGGTGGGAACTTTAAATCAGCTGAATCATAACAACCGGCCACTTTGACTTGGGTTAGAGCAAAGAGCAGCTGAGGTTTCCCCTGGCAACGGGGAGAAGGAACCACCTGCAGAGAGCAGGCAAGTATACCCTGGGATCTCATGTAGAGGTGGGCTAATTTGGGGAAATGGCAGTTGACTATTTTTCCACTCCCATTTCAGAGATCAAAGGCCGGCTATGTTGGAAGAAAACATACGGTTCAGTTCTGTTATGTCTGTCCCTAAGCATTAGGCTGCCCTACAAAATCTCCCCCTAACCCCTTCTTTTAATCCACCTCTATAATTCCTTCAACTAAAAAGAAGGGTATTTCTCTGTCCCCTGGGGGAAAATGTCAGCAGGAAGGAAAGAAAGGTAGTCCCCTAACCCCTTGCTAATAAGACTTTCCATGAAGTTTCACAGAAAGATTTGGGGGAAATTCCCTTCAGAAGGGGAAGCCTTGTTTCCTATTCCTACCATTGCCATCTTTCCTCCTGCCCAGTGCCCCACTCTTCTTCCTGTGTAACTCGGGGGTGAAGAACCCTCCCTAGGGTTCTGCTGCACTGACTGTCAGCCAAGGAGAACACTCCCTTCCCCATCATCAGAGCGGCCAAGACACCTGATAGCAGAACTGAGGCCAAGTTCCAAAGTCCACTTACGGCTGTTGATAAAAGACAGATGACTGACAGTCATCTCAGCGTGACACAGCTGCAGAAATGCAATTCCTTAGCCGATCAGACTATGCATTTGTAGCCTAAAGATACCAGTTAATGGAGGTGGGGTGGTTTTTTTGAGGCCACTGTAGTTTCCAAATGCAAGTTAATCTCAAAGCCCACTAAAGATGAAATTAAAGTGAATTCTGTTATCTGGCATTCCCTTTATTGAAGGCCTCCCTTAAATGGCATGCCTGCATGGCAAAGTGTGATGACACACAATGTTGTGGGGGTGAGTGTGAAAAGCACTGCCACAGCCTGAAACACCTTGTGAATCATGTTCCAAAAAATTAAATTATGGTTTCATTTTGAAGTTGAATAGGCTCTGCTGCAGTCTAGCTCATTGGAATGTGGCTGGCTAAGTACGGTAAGTACAGTGACCATGAAATGGAGTGTTAAATCAAAAGACCACGTTCTCCAGATGATGGGTATTTAGCCGTGTGTGGATCCCTTACCAATATATGTGCACACACACATATCTTATCACTTCCTTTCCCAACTTTCTAGATAGTCTCTAAGGAAATACTTTACTTCTACTTATAAGGAATATGTTACACATATCTCTTAAAGCTTTGGCTCTATTTCCTAACTAAAATTACAAATTCGACAGAAGAAATTCCACTGAAGTTAAGCTCTTCTACTTACCAATCCATCTTTGTCATAGGGTGAATCAAAGTTATCCAGAAACTTCCTGAATACTTGTTCCTCCGTCCATTCTCCATTTTGGTACTTAGGGTGGTGTTTGGCGTTATATACCTCACGAAGATCTTCAATTGTTATAACTCCATCTCCAGTCTTGTCTAACTTCCTAAAAGCTTGCATAATTACCTCTTTTCTGGCTCTAGACATTGGAGGCTAGATAAATAGAAAAACACACACACACACACACACACACACACACACACATACAGATAACACAAGTAAATGAGCTTGTTTTGTATCATACATCATGAAATATCTGTTTCCTCTCAAGGGTATGAAATGGTTTGTGTGCCGTTAAACAACATGCATGACAATTACTCTGAAAAGTCCCTAAACCTGTTACTGATCTCCTTCCCATCTCCTCCACAGTGCACTGACAACTTCTGAAAACAAAACCTTAAAATAGCCAACCCAAACCATGTGAAAGCCAAACTCAGCAGATACAGATTTATGAGGCCACTTACTCTTAATGTAAGAAGAAATTCATTGAAGTCTATTGTTCCATTTCCATCTTTATCAAACCTCCGGAAGAGCTCTTCTGCCTCTTCCTTTTCCATGACCACGGCATAATCATTTAGCCCTTTCACAAATTCTTTGAAGTCAAGAGTTCGGTTGTTATTGTCATCCATAATTCGAAACACTCTAAAGAAAACACACACGGACACAAAAAGAAAGGAAAAAAAAAAAAACAGAGAACAAAGGGTAAGGATAAAGATTTAAGAATAAACACTCTCAAAGTTTTTTAAAGTAAAATACAGAAGCCCTAGATTCTGCTCTGAACCCTCCTCCCAAAAGAGGAGAGCCTCTTCTGAGCCTCTCATAAAATAAAATGTACTATGTGATTCTAATTTTAAGACATTCTGAAAAATGCAAAGCTATAGAGACAATAAAAAGACAAGGGAAAGGGGAGAAGAGAATAGGCAGAGCACAGGGGATTTTTAGGGCAGTAAAAATATTCTGTATGATTTTATAATGGTGGCTATGTACATATATCATATATTTTCTTTTTCTGTCAGCTAAAAGAACCTAGAAGTAACACCCCATTAACAAGCACATCTAGAGCCTAGATATTGGTTTCTAATACAATTCTTCAATAAAAGGAATGGGGCTTTTTGGAGAAATGTCTGATTCTAGGACTGGGGCATGATATACAAGATGAGCTTGGAATATCTTATACCAGAAAGTAAGGAAGTGCTCAAAACAAACAAAACTACATTGATGGGGCTACATCAAAGGGACACAGGAGCCAAGTGAAAGAGCTCCTAAGGCCCAGGCTTCAACATTTTGGGCAATAAAATAGTGTTGTGTTGTAACCCAAAGTATAAACTAAATATCCATGAGTCCGTATTGGTTTAAGTAAATGATTCAATAAAGAAATAAGCAAATATTATTTAGAAAAGACAAATTTCTCTTGCAGAAATATTCCAGATAAATTGTGCACATACTCTGTCCTCAAGGAGGAAAGCATAGTCCCCACTCCCCATGTGTGGCTCTGCACAGAGACTTCCTTCCAAGGAGTACAATACAGAAAGGGAGGGAACAGTAACTTTACATTGGAGAAGCCAGCCTAAGATTGTCTCAGCCAGATGATCAAGGTCAACATCAACAGTGATAAGTCAAGTTGACAGTATGCATCCTTGACATGATGCGATGAAAATGGTGCTTCCCTAATGCGGTCTCAAAAAACCATAACCCCAGTCTAATCTGGAAAGGAAGGAAACAGGAGGGGGTAGCTTCCACTTGAGTTGAAGAGTGATTAAGGAAAGGGCAAAACCAGTAAAGGGGCAGAGGCAGACGGCACACTGGAGCATGAACGAGCCAATAAATGAGCCAATAAACTGGCTCATAGGGGCAGGGCTGTTAGGGATTGGTCTGGGGGGTGGGGATGCAGGCAGCAAGAGGGACTCAACTGAGTGGGTCAGTGAGTAGGTGAGAGGGCAGTGTCCCTGAGGGGTTTGCACCAAGGACAGTGATAGGACTCCAGAATGAAAGAGGTGGAGTTTGGAAGTTAGGGTGATACGGTAGTGAAGGGAAGTGGGCTAGTCTCCCTGCTGGACTGTGGCCGCCTGGCCACCAGGGTCCATGTGTCCACAGTCTGGACTTCTGACGGCACTGGGCTTCCTGTGAGAATTTGAGACCATTGAACGTGACACTCCTGATACTCAGCAAGTACCTCACTGGAAGAGAAGCCGTCCGCAAGAGGCCGGGGCCCCTGCGGGGGTGCCCTGTACTTCTCTCACACACGACGTCACCACGGAGATTCTCACTTCCGTGACACTCAGTCTCCTCAGTCTAAGGCCTGCCTGGGGCCTAGAGGGGCCTTGTTCACCCACGAATGTACACGCACCTGGCTCATGGCAGGCTCTCCTATAGTCTGTCAGAGAGAGGTAATGGTGGGCTCGGTGGTTCAGTCAGTTAAGCGTCTGACTCTTGATTCTGGCTCGGTCAGGGTGGTGGGATCAAACCCCGTGCTGGGCTCTGCACTCAGGGTCTGCTTGTCTCTCTCCCTGCTCCCCCTGCCCACCACGGAAATGCTCTCTCTCTCAAGTAAATTACTTGATTAATTAATTTTTAAAAATCTTTTTAAAAGGGGGCACCTGGGTGGCTCAGTGGGTTAAGCCTCTGCCTTCAGCTCAGGTCATGGTCCTGGGGTCTTGGGATCGAGCCCCGCATCGGGCTCTCTGCTCAGCAGGGAGCCTGCTTCCCCCTCTCTCTCTCTGCCTGCCTCTCTGCCTACTTGTGATCTCTGTCTGTCAGATAAATAAATAAAATCTTAAAAAAAAAATCTTTTAAAAAGGAGAGAGAGAATGCACAGGATCTGCCCACTGGAGGCTAACAATCTCTTTCTCCTTAGGTTTCGAGGACTTCTCCCACTATCAGGGGGTCCGAGGACAGGCTCTATGGAGCTGGGAGAATCCCACTGCAGTGGGATATCCCACAGGCAATTTCTGTGGCCCCGCAGAGGTGAGCAAGATAGGACCACCTGAAAGCAACCTCCTCCCTCTTCCACCCCAGCCCCTATTGTCACAGCTGCTAGGAGCATCTCTCTCCAGGTCCTGCTCCGTGTCTCTGGTACCTGGACATGCCTCTCCCTTCACTTCCAGGTGTCCCAGTAGCTGGGCTCTCTTGTCACAGACACAGCCTTGCTGAATCTCGGACAAAGAACTAAAAATTGTCACAAGGGACCTCAGAGATCAGTTCTTCCAAACTGCATTTTACAACTAGGGAATGGAGACCCTAGGAGGCCAAGACTTGCTCAAAGACCCAGAGCTAGTCATAGCCCCACCTGGCTGTGTCCCGCATCTCTACTTTGGCCCCCTGCCACCCCCTGGCCCGGATCCTACCTGCCGAGTCCTTTGATGCCTGCGGAGCCCCGGGCCAGGCATTGCAGTCGGAGTCTTTCAATGGGGTCAGTGGCCGTGGTGAGCTTTTTCTTGGCCTGGATTGCCATCTCTCGATCGTGCCGTGCTGTCCCTGCCATCTGAGAGGAAAATTCGCAGCACATCAGCAGAGCTCGGGCCTCATCACCCAGCTTCTGGCTGGGCAGGGGGACAGCAGCCTCTCCCAGAAGGAAAACACTCTCATCCACTTCCTGGGAAAAGCCTCGAACTTCTCAGAATTTCCAGCTTTTAGCTAGACCAACTATGTGCCTGGAGTATTCCTCGCTTACTTCTCTGGTCCTGAGGACATCTGATTTCTCCAGCCTGGACAACAGTTCTGGACAACAGTTCAAATAAACAGCCTTTCCCAGATACACTTTCATTTTGTCGAAACACTCCTCCCACCATAAAATGAAAAGTCCCACTTCCCTATATTCTCCTTTTTGAGTCGCCGTTCTATGCTTTATTCTTGTAGTTAGCATTCTACATATTCCCTTTGACTCCACATTTAATATTCTCCTCTTTGGTCTAAACATTAATTTTTATTGTTTCTGTCTTGGCTGAGCTGCTCCACACTGGGCCCTCGTAATCCCTGCCCGTAACTGGCATGTTTTGATTAACAGGTTGGTGTTCATTACTACCTGGATTCCTGAGACAGAGAACGGTAAACAGATACTCTCTCTCTCCTGACAAGTAGATATAAGATCTTTTTTTGTCTACAGTTTGGCTTTTGTGTTTTAAATATTCAGAAATAGGAGAGAGTGGGTACCGTGAACCTCCCTCCTGAGAGGTCCCTGAGCCACACACAAACTCCTGCAGGGTGGTTTGGGGTTTCAGAACCTGCAGAAGTGGAAAGCACTCTGGGATGACGGCCTGGAGACCCAGGTTCTAGTCCAGACTCCAACTCCCTCCCAGCAACGTCTGAGCAAATCTCTGGGCCTCTGGTTTCTCCTTCTCTGTCAAGTGAAAGGCTTGAATGATTTTACAGTTCCTCTCTGTTCCAAAAACAACTAATCCTCCTATGAGCTCACTGACCCAGCAAATGAGGGATTCTAGAAATTACTTTTCTTAATGGGAGTTGTGAATGAAGAAGCAAGACAGTTGAGGGGTAGGCAGACACAGCATTCAAATGCAGAAAAGATGGTGTTGGAATGGATCTGCCCTTGGCTCAAGGGCTCCCCCCCTCCCATGCCTTGCCCCTGGCCTAGTGCTGGCAATTCTCCTGAGGCCCACACCAGGAGGAGGGAATTCTTTTCATCGGGGCCGACAACTCTCAGACGGATGCTCTCTAAGGCTGTTCATCTACACTACAAGTGGTGAGTTCTCCCCCACAAAAATCTCATTATTTCACTTTAGAGCGAGGGACTCAAACTGAAAACTGAGACCACAACAGATAAGTCAGGGATGTGAATTCCCAACTGCCTCATTTCCTACCACACGTCCCAAGAGCCAACTTAGAAGTTCTCTCCTTCTTGACCCACATTCTGTTCCCACGACATGAATGTAACTGGGAGTAATTCTCAGTTCTCTTAGACCCCCAAGGCAAGAAGGAGGCCTTTGTCCATTAGGTCCTGGTGGCTTTATTCCACATGAAGAAGAAACTGGTCTGCCCAAAGCTGTCTGGATCCTTCCTCGATTCCTCCAGCAGCGAAGGAACGGGTTTGCCAGAAATCCAGATGGCCAGCCGCCATGCTTTCGGAGGCCTCTCTCTCCACTCCCAGTGGGCCTGTACACACAGGTCTCAAACTCATCCAGCAATCTCAGCCACAGCCCAAATCAGCTGCCTTCCTGGCAGCATTAGCCTCTTCAAACCTTCATTTTCCTGTTACTATTTTGTCTCCTGACGTCAAACTGACAACTCCTGGAGCTTGACCCCAGCTTCTAGCCCTAAGGGCACCCCACAGAAGGCTTCAGCCACAGTCAGAACCCTGGGTTTCTGTACGAAAACCCCAGTTCCCTCCAGGCACCCCCTGCCCCCTTACACAGCTAGCCTTGCCCGAGGCTCTTCCTAGCCCTGAGCAGCCTGAGCAGACCTGACCAGAGGCTGCTAGCGGCACCACCACCCTGTCCCTCCCCGCCACCGAGGGAGCTGGAAAGGCAATCAGCAATCTTGTGCCCTCCTCATTCTTAAATCCACCTCAGTGATAGCTCCTTCAGGCCCCCAGCCCTCACTCAGTGCTATCTGCCCAGTGGTTGTCCCCCTCCCCCTATTCACCTCCGTGTCCTCATTTCCACTACCTCTCCCCTGCCTTTTTCACCCCGCCCTACTGGTTCTGGTTTGCCACACCAGTCACAGGGGCCGGCGGGGAATGGAGAGACACACAGGCCACAAACCAGTAACGGGGTGTGTGAGAGACAGCACGAGAAAGGACCCATGTGGGGCCCTACTGACACACCTTCAAAATTAACAGCGTCAGTTGCTCGAGTTTATGGCCTCCCGACCCCATGGTAGGCGTGTGCCCAGGCCTCACAAACGCCCAAGGAGCTGAACTGAGAACAGAAGCTCAAACAGAAACACGTGCATCCTGTTCACAGCCACATTCCTCACGGTGGCCAAAGGCACAGAAAGCCCAAATGTCCATCCACAGAGGAACAGATGGACAGAACACGGTTCTGCTTCTCCAAGGTCACCCAGTCTTCAGATGCCCTACCTCCTTGTGGACCCAGGCTTGGGATCATAATAACACTGCATTATCCTCTACTGTTCCCATGCTCCTGCTTGGTCCTTCTGTGCAGTAAGTGTAACCTTGACCCACATAAAGAGTGGACTCGTCTGCTAATTCAACAGCTATTTGTTGGGTAGGTACCATTGGTCGGAATCTATTGGGTGCTGGGAACCCAAAGATGAACCCAGGTCTGTCCCTGTTCTTCAGGAGCCCAGATTTCACTAGCAGCTGGAGAAGGGGAGGTGCACATGGATGATTAGGGTAGAGTGAGAAAACTACAAGATTGGTGCTTCAGCAGAGAGCCGTGGGACTTGGGGAAGGGACCTCACATCTGGCCTTGAGGGGGGAGTAGCAATGCAATGGGCAGAGAGCGGGACAAAGCCATTCTGCATGCACAGACACAAGAAGGAAAAGCCAAAGCCACACACGGATTCCATGTACAGGGAACATCAAGAACAGTCAAATGCACAGAGATAGAACACAGACTGGCTCTGGCCAAGGCCTGGGGGAAGGTGGCCAAGGGGAGTGGAGTTTTTCAGAGGGGCAGGAGGTGGGGTGATGAAAATGTTTTGGAACCTGATACAGATGGTGGTTGCACAACATTACGAATCTACAGTATGTTTTTAGATGACTAATTTCACATTATGTAAATTTCACCTCAATTTAAAAAAAAAAAAACCCTGTGAGCTAGTTACAGTTATGATTTCTATTTCACTGATAAAGCAACGGGGGGGCACCTTCGGTGTGGCTCCCAGGAATTCACACACCGTTAGGACCGTGAGGTCACCCCAAGCCCCTCCTCCTTCAGTGGACTGGGGAACTGAGGCGTGCGCTGGTAAAGCAACTTGCTCCCAGATCGCGGCTGACACCCAAACGTAGATCTTCTGACGTTTCAGCAGAGCTCTTTCTACTTCACCATGTTTGTGAAATAAGATAAAAGAATCTCAAAGCACAGTAGGTGGTTCCCATCTACAGGAGAGCAGGGCAGAGCCCAGGAAAGCCTCCTGCGGGTTTTACCTCCTGTGCCAGACCCCACACAGTGACCATGCACATGGTGGCCTCTGGGGTTGACTCTGATATATTCAGTAAAAAGAAGTCCATTCCCTCCTGCCATGATTCTTGAAATGCCTGAGTTAACCACTCACATCCATTGCTTAGTTACCTGGTTCATCAACAAACGTATGTTCTGTGCGCTGTTTTCAAGTCACAAGTGTCAGAGAGGAAGGATGACTCTGAGAAGCAACTCCTTGAACAGCGCAGAATCTTAAATTTGATTGAAGATTAACCACTGAAGTCCCGGGTTAAGCAGGACAGGAAACAAAGTTTGGTAAGAACTGGGGGGTTTCAAAGAAAACCCAACAGGGCAGGGTTTTGGTGATGAAGGACGACACTCAGGGCTTCCAGAACTTGCCTTAAGCCTCCAGGCACCTGGGCAAGAGTCTGTCCCCAAACGTGTGTCACTTAACATCACTGCAGGACATAAAGCGTCCCTAGACTGCAGAAGACCCTCCCTGAGCCTCTAGGAGCCTGCCTGGTGACCGCCAAAGAGCATGCCCTCCCCAGGCACGGGGCCGCAGCGCCACCTAGTGTTGACACCGCGTCTGCGCATTTCCCCAGAGGGGCTGGGTCCCTTTCTCCAACAAATGTTTATTAAGGGCTTAATTTAGAGCAGGTCACTGGGTTGGACTGGGGAAGAGGGGGTAAGGGGGTGGGGGAGAGCAGCCCTACTACTCAGCCACCACAAATCAGAAGAAGGTAGTTAACCTGACTTGGAGCGGGGCTTTCTGAAGACTTCTCAGAGAAGGGGCTGTCTAAGCTTTTATCCTAAAGGAAAGAGTAGTTAACCAGGCTAGGGTTGTGGGGGGCAGAAGAAGGAAGGGCACCGTACACTTCCGGAGTGCCAAGGCCCAAACGAAAGAGAAAGTGGTATAATTACAGAAATGCAAGTATTCTAGCATGATTGCAGAATGGTGGGCGGGTGGTGCGATGAAGCCCTTGTTGGGAAAGGGAGGGAATATAGAAAGGGGAGATTTGGAGAAAGATGACACTGGGAAGGTAAGCAGGCATCAGATCACAAGGAGCCTGGGACACAAGCTGGGCAGTTTGGATCCTATACCGAGAGCAACAGGAGACAACAAGGCAGTGACAGTTTGTTGTCAAAGAGCCCTCTGATTCAGTATGGTACAGACTGGGGACAGCCAGGTGAGAGGTCCTGCTGACTGGGCAGAGGTACTGGCAGCAGGGACAGAGAGAGGAAAAGAGATCTGAGTTGGAGAGTACTCAAATGTACAGTGTGAAGGAGAGGGAGGGCTCAGCGGTGGCAGAGATCAACCACCCTCCACCCCCGCCAACACCCCCCCACACTCCCTCAGCTGGTGTGATGTGGGGCACAGGCCAAGTGGAGATGTGGGGCACAGTCCAGGTGGAGCCTCCAGCAGCAAAGCCAAAGGAGACTTTGCAGCAAGGGTCACTGGGGCTCCTCACACAGAAGCTAGTTAAGGCTCCCTCATCCCACTGTCCAGCTGCACAGCCTCCTGCCCCTGC